AGACTTCGATTTCACAGGCGAGTGGACTGTTATAACACCTTTCATCTGACCTCCACTATTTCGCAGAATAAGTATCCCGGTTAACATATGCATGAGGTTTAGGGTACTTGTTTTGACAAAGAAAGCAGTCCAAAGGTCACTTGGAAAAGCAAGCCAAGTTTCTCTTGATAATTTTCATAACTGTGTATCGTAGCTCTTCAAGAAATGGAAAATGTTGGGTGGTTGCCTCGATGATTTAAAGAATGGTATCTAAGTAAATCATCAGACGGGATATAAGAAGTCTTTTACCTAACTGTTTATCGCACAGTACATGCTTTGACTCCAACTTATCTGCAGAAATGTAGCTGTAAGGAGCAGTTGTTACCTGCTGATCGTTAATGTAATTTACACCGTTGTCCTCCTCTGGGTAGCGCAACTCAATGTTTTTTAAATGATCTACACTTTTCTAATCACTCAGTACCTAGGATGCTGCTGACCATGATAACGATGACTTTGGGTTCATGGTGCATTTGATAAACTATTATCTTTCACATAGCTACGATGTCAATATCGATGGTTGACATTTGAGCGATATGCTCTCTTCGCTCTATGCTTTACAGTCAAAGAGCTGATATTTATCCCTGAGATAGCGTTGTTAAAATGTCACCAACGAACGTCAGGACATACAGCTCTGCCTTCAAAGGTATAATGGTTCTGCGAATGAATCAGTCTTTGGTGAATACTTTAATTCAAAGACAGATCAAAACACACCACGGCTATCTTAAAATTGCAATGGATACTTTTATTTGGTGTTGTTTCTTGTTCTCAAAGAAATAACCTGAAAAAGAAAACTTATAGTTGGTGTAGTTCCTTCAATAGCTTCTTAGGGTTTGTCATTATTGCACTTGCTCTGTGGGTATCTTACATACTTCTTTTGATAGCGACTCCTCTTAAAGCATTCTGCGGCCTCTGCATCACACTTGCAAAAGAGATGGCGGCATTTTCCCCAAAACCAGTAATAGGAAGCAGGTTCTGGATTAAGAAGAGATAATTTGGTTAAACTCTGTTTAAAAAGCGTTTTCAATAAGAAATGGGCCACCAGTTGCATCAAATACTGTGAAAAGCAACGCAGCGTGGCTTATGTAACTGTGTATAACAAGAAGATATGAAAAGGGTACTAAATGAAAGTGAGATGAACTCCATTAGAACGGTTATTTATTAATTTCCCCCCCCCCAAAAAAAAAACACGTCCTAATGAACAAAGTGGAAGCGCATTAGCGATAGGTAAACATAATCATAAAACATTCAAAGTGAAAACATAACTAGTTTTACACTGAATGAAAAGTTTATGTCTAAACTTACTGCAATTCGAGGGCTGATTTCGTTTTGTTGAGTAAGGTAGGACATAGACTCCTTTCCTGAATGGGCAATGTCTTGACCGTTTGAGTTTGTCGTAGCATCGGTCATGGGCCAGACAACATCTAAAGATAAACATGATTTACATACCTCTTTGACTCTCATTCGTAATAGGACTTTTCTTTTTTAGGAAGATCAGTTCGAAAATATTTAACAACTATTCGCTGAAGATGACATAGGTTTTTTCGAACAATACAAAGAAGAAGTTCGTAAGTACAACAAAAGTACCCTTCGTCTTAAGAAATTGTCCGCAATTGTTTGAAGCAAAGAAACGCACCTTCACAAGTTTAATGATGGAATGGATCATTACTTTGAATCATTGAACCGTTCGCAACTTTAAACACTCAGCTTATCAAGCAAGGGTTTTTTAAGGGTAGATGAACCAGAGTGCATAACGCATAATCGCGGTAATTTTAGCTCATTGTGGTTTGTGCGAAATGAAACGCAGAGTAAAGTAGTCTTTTTTCATTTCCTTATCAACATGAGCAAAATTGCCGAATGATAGAAAAAGCAATATGTAATACTTATACAAAGAGAAATTTAGATTATCACCTTATTCTGCATGAAGCAAATCTTTGATTTCTAGTTTACAATTGTTTTTATGATTGCCTAGTTATGCTGCATAAAGTTACGAACCTTTCCTCTACACTTGGCCCGAGAATGCCGAGTTTTTAAATTACATGTGGTCTCTTCCAGCAAATTCAATCGCTTGGCGATGACAGATTATGATCACATCTCTTTGTCACATTACTGCTACACAGAGAGAGAGCAATGGGTCGTTTCATCGCGTTTAGAAGAAATTCGCACTCAAGTAAGCGAATCAAACAAGACTATTTTTTGGGAGTCATGAAGACAAAGAGAAACACCTGTAGAACGCATGCCAATAAGTGCTATATAAGTGTTATTATTATTATTATTATTATTATAATTATTATTATTATTATTATTATTATTATTATTACCTGTACGTTATAGACAAGTCCAGCAGGTGTTCCTCTCCTCCAACTAACTACCATAGCGAATAGGGAAGGGCCTTATCTAATTCAGGTCCCTTTTCCGTACTCCTGGGTTTTGTAATCGATACATTAACGATGGCTTGGAAAGACTCAAAAAAACAAACTTTATCCATTGCTAAAAAACATTTGACTCCTGTTATCTCCGAGCCCAGATTTCTGTTGAGCTTCTCATTTATCTTAAACTTAGCAACTGATATTCTTTCATCCCAAAGAATTCAGTAGTGTGATAGCAATTTATATATTGATACCTCCACAATACTTGTGGGTATCCGTGACAGTTTCGGAAAAGCGAACGAAACACCGTGGCAGATTCATTTGTAAGGCGACATTCACATGAACGAAGAGGCCCTAACCTGTAGCATAGACTCGTTCAGTTTTCACTTTGTTTCTAGCCTTATCTCAAGTACGCTATGTGATCGAGTAACTTGAGCAATAACCGTGTAAGCAATTGAAAACAAGCTACAACCTACATGGTTACAGAGATAGAAAAGCAGGATCATACCTCCCTTAAGAAACTTACAGCTCGCAAACCCCTGCGTTCTCCTTCAAAATATGAAAAGTCTTCGCTCTCTAGATAACTCTCCCAATTCACTTTTAATGTTTACTTGTTCGCCAAATGATCAATTATGATTGATCTTGAAAGTAACTTTCTCTCTTTTAATTTTCATGATTTTGATGACAATTTTCGTAAGACAAGGTGTTCTCTAATTGGCCATTTAACCGGGTTGATGGGTGTTTGAAGGATGGCACTCGACACCTGACTGGTCTTCCCTTGGACAGGTTCGTTTCTCATTTTCATCGCTTTAATTTACTTCCTTTGTTCATCAAACCCTGAATAATCGTAAATTTATCGAATACTCAAATAAATTTTCATAGAGGCTACAGCGTATTTGGACCTATTTGCCTCTTGTATATTTGCCTCATCAGCTTAGATGCAATAAGCACCACTGAATAAAGACTCTACCTGTTTTTCATCCGGATGAAAAAAGATCAGTAATTGTACAAAAGGGGGACAATCGACTGATAACACTGAAAAATGGAGAGCAACGGGGCAACGTGTTCGGTAACTTTTAAAACTTTTCACGCTTGGTCGTCATGATCAAGTTTTCGATTATAAGCCTTTTGTATGTTTTCACTCAAGAGTTATTTAGCTTACTACCTCAACCTGAGAATCAATAATTACTGGGAAAGTCCCGAAAAAAACGTTGAAACAATTTATTTTAAATTGCAGACTGAGACCCCCTATAATTTCCGGTAAAAAAAAACCATTGTCGTCTGTTCAGTTCTTACGGTAACGAACTCTGAGAAATGGTACCAGATAACTTTCTCATGTGCACCACAAATCGACGCGATAGCATGTTCAAAGTATGCCATAACTGAGCATGCATCTATCAATACATAAAACTGTATGAATGCCACCTCCACACTTAAACCCTTTTATTGAATTATGTTCTACACAGTCATGAATACTTTTGGGCACTGGAAACATTTAAGATCACATCTTCTTACGAGGGCGACGCTTGCCCCTATTTGGACGACGTTTCTTCTCCGAATTTATGAAGCAATTGACAGCTTTTGTATCACACTTGCACAGTTCATTACGGCAGCGGCCAAGCATTCGGTATCTGACACGCCCTGAAAGAATCAATATGAATTGCTGATAATAGTAATAACAATGCTAATGATAATGATGATGATGATGAAATAACTAACAACGTTATATTTAATTTAGAATTGTAAAGTTTTTCAAATAACATCCTCGGGCCTTTTACTCTTTCAATTTACAATGGAAGCTACAAACCACGCCCTTGCAAGAAGAGTATCTCTTAAGCTTCTCGTATTTGGACGTTTAATAATTTTGCGAAAATGTCTCTGCTGAAGCCTGAGAGTAAATTGATTATCATCTCATAGTTGAAAGATTACTAGCTATACAATTCATTCAACAAATCTCTTTCTCTTTCAAGTCACCATTTAACAGAGCCGGTTGGATTTGTAATAATCCATCCTGGATGGAAATTTTGAACTTACCGCATTGGAAATGTTTTTTGCCTTTTTCGGTCCATCTAACTGCATAAGGCATGTCAAACGGTCCATGTCTTTTGAAGGGGCAAGTCCCAGACTTCTTGAGTTTACCGAGGCAGAAGTTGCGGAGGCGGCAACAACTGGAAAACACAATCAGATGGTTTCATGTCTTTTGTAGCGTCCTTCTACTGACTGTTGTAAAACCAAAACCGCGTCGTGCATATTTGCTAGGATCAAGAATCTCGAGAAAGTGTTGAATATGGACCTGTTTACGACGTAGCCTACCAAAGAGTCTCTTTGGCTCAATGGAAGAGCATCAGATCCGGAGGTCTGAGTTTCGATCGATCGGCTTCATGCTGACTAAGAATTTTTTGTCCCACGCCCGTAGCAAGACAAATTAACATCTTTCTCTATTTCTTTACTGAACTAAACAATCTACCATCGTTCTATTTATACAATGAACGATACCACAGAGAGCTAATGTTGAATCATGTAACATAGATTTTAAGGATCGTGAGAATAGGAAAATGTTGGTAACCCAATAACCCTTGCAACAGGGCAAACGAACAAACGGAAAGAATAAAACAGCTACATATACATTTTATAAAGAGAGAAAAAATTATAATAATACGACAACAATGTATGATTTTTTTACTTGTATACTTTTCTCTTGACGCGCACATTTCCGTTACGAATAGGTTTTCCTTTTCGAGGACGTTTTCGAAATCGTACAGGTTTTCCAGATTTAGGGCGTTTTCCATTTCGAAGACGTCTACATATATCTTTGTAGTGAGAAGGATGTCTGTCAGTGCCCAGGAAAATCATCAACTCGTAGGAGAGTATATCCTTGTTTTTAGACTTCGTTTTCCTTCTTCTATCTTCTGCTTAGAAAAAGAATCTATTTTAGTGTTATCACACATCTAAATACACTTTGTTCCTTTCGGTGAAGTTCTCTGCTCGGAGATAACACTTGTTCTTATTTTTTGCGAATTGTTTTGAAAAGGCATTATGGGATAATTTTCTCTTGACTCGGTATAATATTTCAATACGTAGATAAGAACTGAAAAACGCAATTACGAACATTCTGAAAATACATCGGTTTGCAATGATGACGGTATAGCATCAATGTGTGTGTCAGATATTTGTGAAATTTATTCTGATGACGGGAAAAATCAATCATCACCAAGTTGGGCTTCCAGTGTTTGTGGCAAAATGAGCGAAATTAAAACGCTCTTAACTGATTTTTAGCTCATGGTATGCAAGTAAAAACCTGTAGAAAATTTGTATGATGACTGCAAGAGTACGGCCTCGTGTAGCTTTTGAAATAAAAATATTCTGTATCGTTCAATATTCAGTGGTTTTCATTTGGAGTTTTTTTAAAGGATGTATTCCATGGCCAACAGACGAACAAAACTCAGAAGACTTTGACTGATTGTAATTAGAACGGTTTGTCTGGATAGTTTATAATTCTGGGTATCGCGGGTTGATGAATGGCATGTATGGGACTTTGATATTTCTAAACGATACTTTTAAGTGTGAAAGCAATTCATTTCTGTGAGAATTGTAATGGCCTCACCTAAGAAATCTGACGTTTCTTCCAATTCCTCACCGGACTCAGCTTCAGGGATATCGGTATCGTTTTCATACGGATCAAGATCTTTAAACAAAGAATTTGCAGTTATGTTAAAAGTTACAATAGGCTTTGGGGTCTCTGAGAGGTGGGAAAAAACATAGAAATTTGACGCAACTAGTACATTATGCCAATTTTCAACACAACTCAGATTCAACGAGCACTCTGGTTGGTCAAATTTTTAGACGTTTATATTTTTCGCTGCGATGTGTTTCTCGTGTTCTCCCGGCCCAACTTCCTAAGTGTCCCGCGCCTTTTAGGTGTTCTTCCAAATTTCAAAATGATTTATTACGCCAACGAATCGAGAGAAAGTGCGGTTTATTGCTTTTATAGAATAGAATTTAAAAAGTTCAATTTTCTAGAGGTTTACCGTGCAATTAACGATAGGTTTTTGACCAGTAAGGGTGCTCTTTGTATCTCCGCTATTTCATGAAAATGGATGAAGTACGTCAATAAATCAATAAAGTAGCATTTACCAGTAAAAATGAGACAGGGCGGCTCTTTATCTACTATTTTCAGGTCGGCAAAGGAAATGTTTTATAAACGTCTGGCTGACTGGAGAATAGCAAAGCAGTTCTTTCCCACGAGCAGCCAAATTGGAGACAATCTCAGCTTCTTGCGGCTTATGAACATGCATAGAGGTTAAAAGTAACGCCCTGAGCAAATAGCTGGAGATGTTTTTATGTGAAATAATAAATTTCGGCAATTGTCGATGTTTTTTAATTCAGAGCGGTTCAATATGAAGAAATAAAACCAGTAAACAAAAAGAGCTGTTTATCTAGTGCAACAATGTTCTAGAGATCATTATCTAACTTTACCTGTTTCTAGTTGGTTTTCATCAATTAAAACCGGCTCTGGGGCTTCGTATGCGTCTTCAATCTCTTCCTCCGCGCTTCCAACTGCTGTTTTGTCTGGATTTATCTCTACATACCAGGAAAAGTAAACCTGTTATCACAAACACGTCAAGGCAGGTGGTTTCTTATAAGACTCTTGTAGGATAAAATTAAATTAAATTTGGATTTGAAACAACGTGGCATGTTTTCTAATCGAATCATATCGTCATTACCAGCATAAAAAGTTTTCTCTGCTTATTAGGAAGCTAGCTCATCTAAGGAAAGTGTGACGTCCTCTGCATACAGGGTAATAGAAGTGGCATCTTACCTTCGAGATCTAAGCCAGGTTCATTGAAGGCACTTTTCACTTCGATGGCTCCGAAGAGCAAGGGTATCACAAAAAACAACTTGATTCTCATTGTAACTCTGCAATGTGATCGTTTAAAGTCAATTTGAAGATCAATCTGTACTTTTCTTTAAGTACCTAACACGACAAAAACCCGACTGAAAGACTACTGACTTCCTTCGAAAAGTTGACCCGTTCCTCACACATTCGAATACTACGTAACTTTTTTCCAGACAATCTCTTATCGATAGAGAAAGC